AAGAGGCTGTCAGATCCCCTGGAACTGGAGTTACGGACAGTTGTTAGCTGCCATGTGGGTGCTGGGATTCGAACCCAGGTCTTCTGCAAGAACAGTCAGTGTTCTTAACTGCTGAGCCATCTCTCCAGCCCCTAACAATGCATTCTTACTAACCAATTGCAAATAAATTTTATGACACTCTAATAATTGTAACTCAGTACATTCTAAGGCCTTGTGGTTAAACAAGTGCATTAGTATTTCTGCCCTTCTGATAATAATTATTTAGGCCAGTCTGGTTTATGATCTTCATCCATTCTTCCCTGAGCTCCAACATTCACTGTACCACCTCCTCTCCAATTTATTACCTTCATTTGGTTCCTGAGCTGAGCTCAGGGCCAGCAAGGCCACTGCGAACAGGTGAAGGCTCAGATGTTGCTCTCCTTCCCTGAGCTCCAACATTCACTGTACCACCTCCTCTCCAACTAGGTAGTAAGGAGAGGAGGCTCAGGGCCAGCAAGGCCACTGCGAACAGGTGAAGGCTCAGATGTTGCTCTCTGTGCTGAGAGAAACAAGACAGATCTCTTTTTAAGTAGGAACAAAACAATGATATCTTTTAGGTCTCTACTGGGTGACCTCACATCTAAAACACCAGGATGACTTGCATCCTTTACTTTTCTTTGGGACTTTGTCCCAGCAGGATACAATGGTAGGATGTTGTGAATGTGTCCTTTATAAATGGAACATTATTTTATTTAAGCGATCTTATTGAAGGAGCACTGTCCACCAATTAGTTCAGATACCAGATTTGAAATCCCATCATTTTGTGAGATTCAATTTAGTACATATAACTATGACTCTGACCCTCTTTGTTGTGGTTTAGAAAGATTTTTCGTCTACACACATGCTCATATTTATGTAAGTAGTTATTCCATCCCTGAAAATAAAGCTGGTAAACAATCAAACTAATGTTTTTCAGATTTGATCAATCATGGTGTATGTGTCTCCAATAAAAATATATTTCACTAAATTTTTTGTTCAACTTTGTGAGAGTTAGAACACCAGTGTGTCCTTGCCAATCTTTCTTTTTGGGATCATCTTTTTTCCCTGTTGTAATAGCCTATTTATTCTCCCTTAGCTAGTTTCCATTGGCTCACTTGGACAGGCATTATCTACTAGGTAGTAAGGATAAGCCTATTCTGATTATGTCTTCTATCTTTGTGCCTTGGCCCAGTCCTACTGAGGCCTCTGAAGGGCACCTGAGTAGCATAGGTGAGTTAGCCAAACTCTCTGTGCCCTTCCCTCTGCTTTCAGAGTATCTCTAGTACTTCTATTCCAGAGGTCAGTCCTTCCTGCCTAGCTAGTTTGAACCAGACTGTTTGACTAGCAGTAGTGACTCACCCAAATCCTGCTGTGCACATACCCCTTCTTTGTGACCATCTGAAGTCCCTCCCACTGCTCCATTGTTCAGTCCTTTTTTGCTCTCTTGGAAAAACTAACCCATTCTGTTCCCATAGTCTCTCCTTGGACACTGGTACTGTCCTGCTGAGGTTGCCAGAGAGATTCTGACTAGCTAGGACAGAGAACCAGATCTGGTAATGCAGTGTTACTATTCCTTCCTATGAGACCATCCCCAGTGACATCTCATACTTTATTTGCTAGTTAGTTATAACTCTTGCCCAGCTGATGCTTAAACATGAGCATTGACTCCTTTACTCTCCTGGAAAACTCATGAATAGCCTAAGTTCATCCAATAAAAAGTCAAAAGTGAAAACCTAAAGCCCAGACCAAGTAACTATTCATACTGGATCAGAAAGAACCAAGCTACATCAACAATATAAATAGAATCAAACTTCAACACAATAAAGGCAGGCTTGAGTTTCGTATCAGACATACAAGCAACAAAAGAAATCAACATGCCCAGACCACAATGAAAAAAATCAGATAATATGAGAAACCAAAATAATATGTCCCCATCAAACACCCCAAGTTCTATGAATGTGTTCTACAATAAAAACTACCTAAAGAATCCCCATGACACAGAACTTGAAAGAACAATTATAAACCTAATCAAATAATTCAATGAGTATAAAGAACATCCAAACAATTCAATATACAAAGAGGACAAACTGATTGAAGCCAAGGGAAATAAGGATATACTGCTAAGTGATATGACAAGACAATTCAGGTTTTAAAAAGTGAATTTGTGAAAGAATTTGAAATGCTGAAGGAAAAGGCTGAAAAAACAATGCAAGTGGAAAAAGTCAATTAGTCAATGTCAAGTCTGGGTGATAAAGTTGAAGAACTGGACTGCTCAAGCCATGAATACAAAAAATATTAAAAACAGTAATGGAATATGCAGGAAATATAAGACACCCCAAAAACGTAAAAATCTACACATCATAGGCAAAGAGGAGGGAGAAGAATCTCAAACCAATGTCATTGACCAGATCTTCAACTGTATTACAAAGAAAATTTACAAAAATTAAGGAAAGGCACCCCTCTACAAACATAAGAAGCAAACTAAACACCAAATATAGTTACCATTGCAGAAACTCACTGCCGCATATTATAGTATAAACATTAAATGTACAGAACAAAGAGAACATTCTGAGAGCTACAAGTGAAAAACAGGTAACATATAAAGGAAAACCCAGTAGAATTTACACACCACTTCAGTGCAAGCTAGGAGCATCAGAACAACCTGGAGCAAAATATTCCAAGTTCTAAATGACCATAGATGCCAGCCCAGAGTACTTTACCTACTTAAATTGCCTAACATACCCAAAAGGGAAAGAAACTCTTCTGTGACACTAGCAGGCTGAGAGAATTCATGTTCATAAAGCCAGTCCTAGAGAGAACACTCAAAGTGGTGCAAAGGAATGAAGAAAGGAATGACCACAAATCCA